TGTTTACTTATTTTTACTTTTTTTTTTTTTTTGGTACCAGGGAGCAAACTTGGGACCTTGTGCTTACCAGGCAGGCAGTGGAACCACTGAGCTAAATCCCCAGCCCTACAATTTTATTTTTAAACAAAATAAGAGTGGCAACAAAACCCCCAATATTCCACCCTTTCCTCAGAGGTAACCATAATACTAGAGATGATATATATACTTTTACTTCATGTCTTTAAAATTTTGCTATATCTGTATGCACCCATAAAAATATACGCATACTACTATTAGTGTTTTGACGTGTACATTAAATGCTGCCATTCTGAACAACTCCTTTTGCATGTTGCTGTTTTTATTCAATATTTTCAAGATTTCTCCATATTGATACATGTAGCCCCCTGTTTAACTACTATAAAATATTTCTCCTGAATCAGTATGACAATTTATGCATTCCATTGTTGATAGATAATTGAATTTAAGATGTTTTCTCTTTGCATGTATCTATTTGTGCATAGGAACTAAAGTAGAATTGTTAGGTCTTACCATAAATATGTTCGTCTGTTTTGTACTTCTGTCATAGAAGCCTATAGACTGGGTAGTTTATAAACAGATATTTATTTCTCATAGTTCTGGAGGCTAGGAAGTCCAAAGTCAGGGTGCCAGCATGTTCTGTTGTCTGGTGAGGACTTTTTTGCTGAGGCCACTATGTCCTCACACAACAAAATACAAAAGGGCAGTGAGCTGAATGCTGCATGGAGTCTCTTTTACAACTGCCTTCATTCTATTTGTGAGGGAGGAGCACTCATGGCCAGATCACCTTTAAATGACCCTACTTGTTAATACCACGATATTAGCCATGAAGCTTCAACGGCTGAATTTTGGAGGGGACATGTTCTAACCATAGCATATATCTACCTCCCTGTCACTAAATTGTCCAGGGTGATTACACCATACTTATGCATTCAATTTATACAGTAAAACTTCTTCTCCCTTTCCCCACGCTCCCCTCACCTTTAGGGTCTACTAGGGAAAGGGGCTGCAGAAGGAGAGTGAGGAATATTATAGACCTGGAAAGAGTGGGAGGAAAGCAGGGCACAGCCAGCTCCTGGTAATCAGGGGCAAGAGCGTTTGCAGGAGGAAGAATTTACAGAGCAGTATTTCCTTGTGTCAGAGCATAGTGAAGGGTGATAACTAATACATTGGCAATACCTGACAGGTTCAGCAAAAGATGTACCAGAACAATCCGTGGTCAAGGGTTTATATTTTTGTGCCACGAATGAAGCATATACAGCAATCTAGTCAAGTTCATAGACCTTTTTCAAAAGGTTTTAAAATGTATAAAATAAAAGATTATAAAGGAAATCAATTATAATAGAACAATTAGAAAAAGAATTTTGAATTTGATGTAGTAATATGTGCTTCTTAAATAACATCAGACAACTCTCTAATAGCTACTGCAGCTTTGGAATAGTGACAAGCACAAACAATATCAAGATATTGGCTCTAACTCTAGTATAAAAATAGCTGTAATTTCTTGTAATACTATTAAAATTTGTTCCACATTTATTGAAAGAAATGTTGCATTTCATTTTTATTTGATTTTTATTTATTTATTTGTTTATTTATTTGGGGGGTGTTGAGACAGGGTCTCACTGTGCAGTTCAGGCTGGCTTTGAACTCACTATGTAGCTGACACTGGCCTCAAACTCACAGTGATCCTCCTGCCTCAGCTTCCCAAGTGCTTGATTACAGGCATGCGCCACCACACCTGGAAGTACTGCAGTTCAGTTAGAAATTAATGACATAAAGATGTAATTGTGCACCCATCCAAGTTCATGGCCTTTATTTTTCTGTCCACAGGGGCATAACAGGCTCCAGGTTTGATCTTCAACACTACTAAGTGCAACAAAATGCTGGTCAGTTGCATAGGAAACAGATCAGACTCAAACTCTGAGAAGTATCTGGCAAGGCATAAATAACTTATTCCATTCAAGTAGCAGTTGCTGCTGTATACAAAAAATGTGATGATGTGGTACAATGGCTATAACTGTGGAAAATCATTTTGATGGAGTGGACACCAAAGCTGCAATGGCTGCGGTTGACACGGAAGGGCAAGGGACATTAGAAAATCAACGTGGAAGCCTTGGCGATACAGTTCAAGGCAAGAAAAGGACGACTGTCCTTTATTAAAGACTATCATATTACAAGTAAAGGTGGTTTTTTTTGGCCAAAAAGGAGTACTGTCTCATTGCTCAAGCTAAAAATGATTTCATTCACTTAGCATATGCTGTGTTATGCTGAACGTCTTCAATAATCTCACTCTGTGACTATGTATCATTTTATAATTTTTACAAGTCAGTTTGCCTCTGTTCTCTTGTCTGTAAACCTAATTACCATTCATTGGCTAGTCGTACTTTTGTCAGTACCAGCAGTGAGACTAGGGAACTTTTGCCAGGCTCGGTGGCACACATCTGTAATCTCAGCTACTCAGGAGGCTAAAATAAGAGAATTGCAAGTTCAAGGCCAGCCTGGACAATTTAGTGGAACCCTGTCTTAAAAAAGTAAAAAGGACTGGGATGCAGCTCACTGTGCAGTCCATGGGTTAAATGCCCAGTATCACCAGAGACAGAGTCAGAGACAGAGAAACAAAGAAAGAAGAAGAAAAGACGAAGGGGGGAGGGGAGGGGAAGGGAAGAGGGAGAGACGCTAAGGGCTCATTATTGTGTCAGCAGGAAAAATTGTTATAATTGTTATACTTATTGTCTTCTGAAGTTTCTTTCTTTAAAGAGCAACTTTCTTGTTAGAAAATGTAGGTACAAAAATAATACATTTAATAAGAGACAAAGTAATTCTTTAGTGGGTTTAGTCAAGTAAGTAATCTTGCCCTAGAAATAAGAATAATCCTGATTTGTATTACATGTTTTGGGACAGACAGGCATTTTGTGGAGATTAGTCGGCTCTTTTTTTAATCCATTGCAGTATCAGCTTGTATTGAGGACCCGTGTCCGTCCAAGGCTCTATGAGCAGCGTTGAATGTAACTGCTCCCACACTTACTTCTTACTTGCATTCCTTCTCTCTGTGCTGCTTTCTTCATACCAGCTGCTACCATTTTCCCTGAGCACCCTTCTATCTCGCACTACTCCTTTACTTGTTATTTATTTATTTAACTTTTTACATTTTCCTGTCTCCTACTGCTCATGCCTCTCCTTTGTTTTTTTTGAGTCCTGTTTTCCTATCCCAACTTTGTTGATTTTGGGGAGTTGTTTGTTTGTTTGTTTGAGACACAGTCTCACTGTGTATTCTAGGACAGGCTTGAACTCTTTGTAACCCAAACTGACCTTGAGCTCATGATCCTCTGGCCTCCCACATGCTGGGATTACAGGAATGTGGCCTAGTTCCAACTGTCTTTTAATAGAGAGAGAGAGAAAAAAAAAAGACTTTGTGAAGCTTTCTCCTTAATTCTCTGCGTACCATTTCTGAAAACAGTAATAAAAAAATTTTTAATGAAAATGAAAACACATATGGGGTGATCAAAATATATGATCAATGTTTACATTTTTTAAATGGATTTCAGGAAAAGATACATTACCATTAATCACCTTCAAAATATTCCCCCTTGCTTCAAACACACTTTCTGAAACAGTTCTGAAAGTTCTCTTGCGTGAGTGTCTTTATAAGGTATGATCAGAAATATAGTGAATGCTGCTGGCCAAGGAAAAGACAGTTTTATAACAATGTTACAGTGTGTCTTTTCCCCCAGAACTGACACTTTGAGACTTCTTGCTCTTCCCCAAAGTCAAGGTGAAGGGTAAGTATTTTGAGTCAGTGTAGGACATGAAGGCAGCCTCAACAGCACAACTAAAGATACAAAATAGGGTTTTCAGAATTGCTTCACAAAGTGGCAAAATGATGGGATAAGTGTGTTCAAAGTAAGGGGGAATATTTGAGGCAGTTAAACACAGTGTGTCTTTTACTATGTAATAAGTTTAAAAAATTTTTTTAAACATTCACCATATCTTTCAATCACATGTTGCAGTCATATTATTAACATTTGTTGAGCTCTTTCTCTATAGTAGATGCTATGCTAAACCTTTATATGGATGGTTTTACTGATCCTCACTAAACCCCAAAAGATTGTTCGCTTTTTGCAGGTAAGGAAACTGAAATTCTGAGATATTTTAGCTGAGAAGTTAAAAATAATTTTATCTCCTCCAAAACAAAAAAAGAAGCAGGGAGAGAGTGAAGAGGGAAAGGAATGAAGGAGGGAGGAAGGGAGGAAGAAAGGAAGGGAAGGAAATGCCCAAGATCACATAGCTATTAAATTTGATACTTACTTTATTTTGAGACAGGGTCTCACCATGTAGTTCAGGCTGGCCTTGAACTCACTGTGTAGCCCAGGCTGACCTCAAACTTGTAGTGATGCTCCTGCCTCAGCCTCCTGAGTGCTGGAATTACTGGTGTGCAGCACCACACCAGTATTCTTTAAGACTCCAGAACCTATGTCTTTGACACGTACGCTGCACTGTTTCTTACTAGGAGGTACTTAAAAAGAGAACTATCCATGAAAGCACAGAGACACAGCTGCTGCGGCCACTGAGGAACATGCTATCTCTGCTCCCCGTAGGTGCTCTTGTGACAGTGTGGTCAGTAGTAGACCTTGGTGGTGGGTGGTACATCCCAGTTTCCCTATCCAAGAAGTAAGTGAAATGAGAAATAAATTGTGAGAATGAATCCCATTTTTAAAAGTTCTGTTTCCTTGATTGGTAAGTTAATTGAGGAATTGGTTTTTTAGAACAGATCATTGTTAGATAAAGGAGATATCTAGTAAGCTTATTTGTGTTTTTGTGTTCAAAAGACAATGAATTTAAAAATGTACTAAACTAAGCTCCCTTATTTTGCTGATGTGAAATATAGGAATGGGTTATGGAGTTATGCCCAAAGAAACTGATGTTCAAATATCTCTCTTACTTCGGCATGTTGTGTGTTCCATCTTCAATTGGGGCTGCTCCTAAAGCTAAGAAGACACTTCCCAACTTGCCTGAGTTCCTGGAAAACGCCTCCTCACGTCCTAAGGTCTTCGCAGTCAGAAGCTCTACTCAAAGTAAGGAATAATGCACTGCTCTCTGCTCCACTGCAGACATTTACAGATGACGAAATGATGATTAAGAGCACAGGTGAGTGAGTTTCTTACCTCCTGCCTGTTACTCTTCTGCTCGTGACTTGGATCTGCAGTGTGGAATTACATATATGACAGACTAGAAGAAATGTCCTTCTGACTTTGTGAATGAAGTTTTTGTGACATAAAATTTCTTTGAAAAAAGCAATACATATCTAAATTCAAAATATAACAACAGTAAAATAAAATGCTAGCCGAAAGTTAAATCTCTCACTTTTTTCTTTCTTTTGGAACAGTGTCTCACTGTGTGGTTCAGGCTAGCCTTAACTCACTGTGTAGCCCAGCTGGCCTCAAACTTGAAGCAATCCTCCTGCCTCAGCCTTCCAAGTGCTAGGATTCCAGGCATGCACTACCACATCCAGCCACATCTCTCTTGCTTCTGTCCCTAGGTTTCCCAGTTCTTGTCAGAAACTACCTTGTGACTGTTGTTTTCATAGCCTTGGAGGTAGGCTGTATGCTGCCGTCAGAGAGTTATACAAAGGCCAGGGAGGCTGCTGATCATCCTTCATTATCCGGGGTGACTCCACAGCAGACCTGCCTGCCCCAGATGTCAAGGTGGGCATGATGTCAAGATAGGGAAAACTTGATCTTTGTGATAATGTAGCTGTTGATAGGCCCATGTTAGGTGGTATCTGCTGGTATAGAAAGATCATCAAGAAGCTGGGCATGGCAGCACATACCAGCACTTGGGAGGATGAAGCAGGAGGATTGCAAGTTTAAGGCCCGCAAAAGCTTGTCTCAAAAAGAGATCATCAGTGTATGTATAAGTGAGTGTACCTTATGACTAAGGTGGACAACTGTTAGCTAGGTAGATAATGTATGTGCCTGTATACACAGAGATGGTTTTGACAGAAAAATTTTCAAAAAGAATATGTAATAAATTAGTTACCTTTGGAGAGAAGAACTAAAAAACAAAGACAGGGATATAAATAGGTTTTCACTTTTCATTTTGTGCTTTCTGTATTTATTTATTTAGTTTACTGGTACATTTTAGGGACACAATACAGTTGCATTCATCATTGGGATCTTGTACCCCTACATGACAGGTCTTGGTTCTCATTTTTTCCCCTTATCCGTGGCCTCCCTTTGCCCCCTCCTCCCCTCCCCACTTACAAACACTTTATTTCCATTTTCTCATATTTTTTCTTTTCCCTTATTACCTTTTGTCGCGAGTCGGCGACGCAGAGCACTGTCCAGCAGTGCCTCAAACCTGAAAGAGCAGCGGGGTGGAGATGGGGCAGAGAGAAAGGAAGGACGCCAAGACAAGAGTCTGACCAAGGTGATGTTTATTGCAGGCAAACATCAGCCTTTTAAAGCAAAAAACCCCCCCCCCACAAACTATTATGGGATGGGTTTACCATAGTAACTGAAAGTTCACACAGGAAAAGAGCAAACAGGCTCAACAAAAACAACCCACCATGGGTAGTAGTAACCCAGACAACCACACATCTGAAGGTCAGAGACAAGAAACTGCAACTTTCAGGAATTCCACAAAGGAAACACACCACCTGCTAAACTGGAGAAACTTAACACATATGGAGTTACTAAAGTTAACAATACTTAAAACCAATATAATACTTAACAACTAATACTCATGATTCCCACAACCTTTCCCCTACCTTTCCCACTTTCCCTACACCTTTAGCCCTTTTCTTCCTATTTTACATTGTCAGTTATCTCATTAGGATCTTATGTACTATTATAGTTTTTCATTTATATTTTTGTGCATAAATCATTTTTTAATATCAGGGATTATGAAAAGGAGATGGGGATTTATACTTTTCTGTATTAAAAGAAAACTTCATAAATTTTATTTTATTTTATTTTTTAATTGAGTTTATTGGTACATTTTAGGGATACAGTACAGTTACATTCATTGTTGGGATCTTGTACCTCTACATGACAGGTCTTGGTTCTCATATTTTCCCCTTGTCCCTGCCCTCCCTTCACCCTCCCCATTTACAAACACTTTATTTCCATCTTTTCATTATCTCACATTTTTTTCTTTTCCCTTATTACCCTTCCCCCACCCATCCCAACTTCCCTACACATTTAGCCCTTTCTTCCCATTTCACAATGTCAGTTATCTCATTAGGATCTTATGTCATAAATTCTATTTTAAAAGTATAAATGCACTTGTATGTATCTTACTAGTTAAAAAGTAAATTTGTCAGAAAACTGTTAATGAACTATTATAATCTTTATTAAAATGACTGGCACTGGAACACAAATGTATTGGTAATTCCTTTTCCTGCAGTTAAAAAATTTGCACAGGAACAAATTGCTCCTTTGGTTTCAAACATGGATGAAAATTCAAAAATGGAGAAATCAGTAATACAAGGATTATTTCAACAAGGGGTAAATATTTCATATTCCTTTCAACTTCAGTCTTTTTTTTTTTTCTGGTACTGGGGATCGAACTTGGGTCCTTGTGCTTGTGAGGCAGGCAGCAGCACCACTGATCTAAATCCCCAGCCTCAACTTCAGACTTTTATAAATATACTCCAGTGTTAAAAATGTATGTGTACTTTTAAATTTGGGGACTAATGAACATAATGAACTCTATTTTCTAGTAAAAACTATCTGTGCTCCCGTTTCATTGGGGTCCTGTAATATTTATATTAGTATTTATATACTTAAAGATTTTTTAATACTAGTTTGATGGACATTTTACATTGGAAATATTGTAAGAACCTTTTAAGAAAAGGTTCGAAGTGGGAGAGTAATTTCTGTAGACCAATGATTCCCAGCCAGGGTGGTTTTACTCTCCGGGGTACAGGCTATTCGTGTCTAGTGGAACGGTGGCTGCTAAGCATCCTATGACACACAGGACAGCTACTACAGCAAATCGTCCGGCTCAGTACAACATCATAGCGTAGTGTGTTGTCCATGGGAATCTCTATGTATGTGCTGTACTTAGAACCAGAGGTGATACCTGAGTTCTAAATTCAACAGGACAACAGATTTTCACATGGCGCCTTAGTGGACACACAGTATATAAAATAAAGTACAGTAGACCTGCTCTGGCTGTGGGCAGGAAGAGGTTATCACATTGGGGGCTCCAAGGAGAATGCTTTAAAAATTACCATATTCACTCCTAAGTTCTTTCTTTTTCATAGGTAGAAAATTAATTTCATTTTTCACTTTCAATACTAAAGATGTTCCAGAACTAGCTACTGCTACTGAGAGCCATAGATTGTCCCAAACCTCCTGTGTTATTCTCTTTGAAATATAACCTTTGCAACTTAGCCAAAAAGTTTTTTCCTGTTTTAAAGTGACCAATTTTAGGCAGTTTTTCCAGCCTTCTATTGGCAGTGAAACTCTTGAGAAAATGGACTCTCATGTGGAGCCACATTGAGTCAAACAGAAGTCCAGTATGCAAGACTATGTGAGTGCCTTTCTTAGCCAAGTTCCACCGTAGTCACAGGCAAACCCTCCAGGCCTCGGAGAATCCTAGTGTCACAGCTTGGAAGTTACTCATTTGAGGTGCTAGTCTTGTGGGTCAGGACTGCATGTATTTACTACCCATCTCCATAAACTGTTCTTGTTAGCATAGCCTCACCTGCCTCCTAATTCCTATTGTCCCACTTTGCTCACCTGCATCATATTTTTAAGTCAGTAGAGAAATTAGCAACTTCTGCAGAGAAACAGGATCTCAGATAACTGTCCAAGACGTTATAATCAGATAGCTCTCATGCCCTCCAGTCTTCAGGCACACCTAATTTGTTCCACTTTTTTTCAGAGTAGCATTTACGGTTCTCTTACCTTTCAGTTCTTTGTGGTTCTACCTTCATAGCAGCTGAGTCTTCCTTCAGCCTGAAGTGTAACAGCTACAACCCCAACTGCAGCATAGTGTGATTTCAGGGTAGTCTAGCAGTGAAGGTGAACCTTTGAGATAATAAAAACAGAACCTTTCGATGAAACAGCCCACTGGACCTGAGTGCCACTGGTCTAGAGAATATAGGAATGTTATGTTTTATCTATTACCAGCTGTGGGTCTTGAACCACATGTACACACAGTCCCCTTTTGAAATGAAGATACTTAAAAATGAAATTTTACTAAAAGTGTCATCACCCAGATTTCAGAGTAGCGCCTAAACAGTCAGAATTGCTCAAGGTTGTTAGAAAGCTTTGGCCAACATTTGTCACTTTTAGCAGACACTTGTACCTTGTCAAGTGGCTCTAGCAAACACCACCAAATGTCTGCTAACCCAGACTAACTGAAGTGCCCCAACAGAATGATCATTTAGTCATTGTCTCAGTAGAAAAAAATCAAGCTGGAGAAGCCTGCTTCCAAGAGAGTATGCCAAATGAAACAGTAGACATTTCTACTGAGGGCTAGTTACTTTCTTGCTATTACATTCCAATCAGTCTAATAGGGACTTTGATGAAAGATCAAAACAACTCCTGTGGTTCTTATCCAATAAAGCCATAAGAGTATCTTTATATAAGATATGGTCTCATTTCATTTAGCTACTCTTTAAAAGAGTACCTCTTTTATCTTTTTTTTTTTTTGGTACTGGGGTTTGAACTCGGGTCCTTGCACTTGGGAGGCAGGCGGCAAGAACTACTAAGCTATATCTCCATCCCTACCTCTTTATTTTTGAGCTCCAAAAAGGAGACAAAGGAGACAAACAATAGTTCTGATATTTAATTTTTTTTTTTTTTGAGGCAGGGTCTTGCTAATTCCAGCCTGGCCTTGAATTCACTACATAGCCCAGGCTGGCCTCAGATTTGTGGCAATCCTCCTGCCTTAGCCTCCCGAGTGCTAGGATTACAGGTGTGCACCTCACCCAGCTCTAACACGTAACTTTGTCCTTTTCAAATAGTTTCCGTTATACATATTTTGTTACTTATAGCAAAACAGTCATACCAAATAAAAATAAAATATATGTACAATATTTTACTTAAAAACTTATGTGGTTATTTTTTAGCTTGTTCTTGTAAGAAATTTCCCTATATAAAAACAGCTTCCTTAATCTGTTATTTGTTTTCCCTTTAGTTGATGGGTATTGAAGTTGATGCACAGTATGGAGGAACAGGGGCTTCATTTTTTTCCTCCATCATAGTGATAGAGGAATTAGCCAAAGTTGATGCATCTGTGGCTCTCCTATGTGATCTTCAGAACACAGTCATTAATAAGCTGATTGCAAAATATGGAACAGAAGAACAAAAGGCCACCTACTTGCCTAAGCTGATTACAGAAGATGTAAGTCAAAACTAGTTGTTGAAATACATTTATAATATTTTAAGGAAAAAAGCAGCTGCATTGTTGACTTTTATTATTGAAGACCACAGTGCAGCACTTATTAAACTATTAAAATTAATTATCAGTAAGAAAAATATACTCTGCTTCTCATTTGCCACTTGGAAATTTAGAGGATAACCATCAGATGATAAAATTATTTCTTTTTTGTTCAAATTTTATTTTCTAGTACCTTTGTTTCATCTACATTGAGATTGCCTAGTGCTCCAATTAGAATTCTAATTGCACTGCATTTTAATAAAGTTAAACATATATTCTTAAGTCCTTAAATTTGCCTTAGACAAATAGGATGGTTTGTAAATAATACTTATAGAAAACTGTTTTGATATAGACTTTTAAAAACAGTAACTAAAGGTTTGATTTACAGATTTCCACTTTGCCATATTTGTTATGCAGAGCATAAATACAGTTGTTAATTTTAACTTTTTTTTCTTACATGTGCAGCTGGGATGCTTTTGCCTTTCGGAGGCTGGAGCAGGCAGTGACTCTTTTGCTTTGAAGACCAGAGCTGATAAAAAGGGAAATTATTATGTCATCAATGGGTCAAAGATGTGGATTAGCAATGCAGGGGATGCAGATCTCCTCGTGGTTTTTGCAAACGTAGACCTTACTGCTGTAAGTTTGAACACAAATTTCACCCTTTTCCCCATCATCTTTTCTCTTTTTCTGTTCCTCCTCCCATTTCTCTTTTAGGACTTAACTTAATGTCTTTATTCTTCCAAATACTGGAAATGTAAGATTTGAACTGGCATCTTTTCACCTTATTAATCACCATATTGTTGACTTTTCACTTATATAATATTTAATTGAATTAAATTCCTAAAATGTTAAGATTTTTAACAAAATTAACTTTAAAGCATGAAATTTTCATGATCACACAACACTTTATTATAACAATAATTTTAATATTCATTATGGTTTCTAAAACACTAAGAAAAAGAAGAGGCTTTTTAATTTGTATCTAATGCCCTCCGGTTATTCTTTTGTAATGCACATATATGCAATTCAGAGTCCTTTAGTATTTATTGCTAAATTTAATTTTCTTTTTACTTTGAAACGTGTATAAAGAAGAGACTTTATAAAACCAAGTGAAAAAATAAATAAATAAAACCAAGTGATAATAGTATTGTAAAATTTTCTTTGCAGGGTTATAAAGGAATCACCTGCTTCTTAGTAGATCGCAGTACAGAAGGCCTTCATGTAGGGAAATCAGAAAACAAATTGGGGATCAGAGCTTCTTCCACCTGCCCAATAACATTTGAAAATGTCAAGGTGGGTATTTCAAAATAATAAGATTGATGTGGAATGAATTTCAAAACTAAGTGACGCTAAGCATATACAGCAGAGTATTTTGTGGAGCCCCTACGGTGTTCTTAGGTTACGTCCTGACCAAGTCTACTTCCCACACACATACTTTCCAGCTGCTATCCTCAGGAACAAATGATGAGACTTTATCTCAGTTTTGTTTTGTTTTGTTTTGTTTTGTAACAGGGTCTCACCGTGTAGTTCAGGCTGGACTTGAACTCATGGTGATTCTTCTGCCTCAGCCTCCCAAGTGCTGGGATTAAAGGCGTGCGCCACTGTTCCCAGCATATCTTAGTCATGTTTGTAACTTACATACTTGGGAACCATTTATACTTTATAAATGTAGTATTGGTGACCCAAACATAGCTTCAGAGAAGGAAGTCTGGTGTTAGTGCACCAAAGGCCACAAGATGGGGATGTTGCTCAGTGAGAGTGGAGAGTAACCAGACAGGGCCTCACAAAACAAGACTGTCAGAAGGCTGAGGCTGAAACAGGCTTGAGAGCTTCACAAGGGCAGCACATTTTCCACTGCTCGTAGTGGAGCTTGGTCTTTGTGCACATGTGTGCCTGTGATGTCTTTACAGATGGCATTTGGGCCCACGTTACTCCCCCACAACTGACCTCTTTTCTGTTTTCCCTTTTCTTTTTCTAACCTGTCCGGCTCCCTCTACTTACTGCCCATATTATAAAGCTCAGTATCTTTTTTATCATTCCTGGTCTTGGTTTTTTTAATTATGAAGAGCATTTCAACCTGTTTCCCCTCTTCCTTCCCCCCTCTCTCTATGCACGTACACATACCTACATACACACATTATACACACCCCAGCTGACTTTTATGAGGATGAATCGTCTCACCAGAAGAAAGGTTTACTACTCTTTTGCAAGTACTTCATGTTTTGTGTAGTTCTTAGTCTATTTCTTATACTGGTAACATACAGATAAGAATTGGGGGAAATTTTTTATTTAGTTATAGTATTGATGAATTGTTGATGAGTTCCCTTTTGCTAGATTCAGTCACTCCTTGAGCAGATTGTGGTAGGCTCTGGAGGATGCAATAGGGAACATGGCTTTGGTGAAAGAGTGTAGAAGAAAATGTCAACATGATCACATTGGTATTTGATGAGTATTGATCAAGTCATATCACAAATTGAGAGTACATATGCATTTAACTGTAATATAATCAAAATGAGTCATGCCAAATTAAATTGAGAAATAAATTCATGTTTGTATTTTCAGGTTCCAGAAACGAATATCTTGGGACAAGTTGGGCATGGTTATAAATATGCAATAGGAATTCTTAATGAAGGTAGAATAGGAATTGCTGCACAGGTAAGTCAGATTTTACCTCTTCTACAATATAAGCCAATGAAAATGTAAAAAGAAAGAAATGCGGTAAGACCAACAAGTATTGGAAGCTTCTGAACACAAGATGGCACCATTTTCTTTCTAAGGTGAAAGAGTGGCTTCTGATGATTTCTTGCAAATTCTACTTCGTCAATTATCTAAGTATCTGGAGAACCAAACAATGGCTTAGTGATAGCAGTTTTTCTGCTTTGAGAATATTAAAAATATTATACAACACCTGCACCAATAACTTCTAAGATGTATTGTAAATTAAATATGGAAATTTTTAAAAAATCGACCTTTCAAAACATGAAATTCATTCTGGAAAAAAATTCTAAAATTGGGAATAAGTAATTATTCTACTGTATAAGGGTCTCTGTAGATAATTAAAATTTTTGCTTAGTGTTTTACATATGAAAATTGAACAATTTTTGTGGCACAGGAATGAAATAGTTCCAATTAAATTGGTATGTAAGATGAAACTATTCAATTTTTTCTCAAACCTGCCCTTTATAATACAGATTGGATTTTTCGATTAAATGATGTCTCTGATTTTCTACATTAATAAAATTAGTACAGTTTTGTGTTTTATTATCATTTATATCATTGTGTAGAATATATTTTTAATCTGAAGTATCTAAGACTTAAGAACTTTTAGCTTTTAGATTTTGACATAAATTGTTATAAATTAGCTAGTAGAGCAGTTAAATGTTGAATTATTACTACAATTTTGTTCTGCTATTACTTTATTAACAAACTATTCTTTTTTGGTGCTAAACATTGAACCTGGGGCTTCAGGCATGCTCAGCACATGCTCTACCTCTGAGCTACAACCTCAGTCTACCAAACTTATTCTCAAATCAAAACTTAAAATAGTTTTTCTGCAAAGCTAGAGAGTGAGTATTGGCATATCTGTACTTTTTAAAGTTATTCTGTGGTTTAACTTTATCACATATGGCATTAAAAACTATAGTACTGGACCTCATTGTTCCCAGACATATAAATAATATAGATGTTCTGGCAGTAAAATACATGGCATGGGCTTTAGTCTAATTACTCCTGGTTATCTTATAGTCTAATTAAAAGTTAAGGTCAGGTAGTTATTCTGTCTCAATGGAAACCTTTTAGAAGAAGAGGCACATATAACAGAGTGAACTAAAGTCATCCATCCTCAGAATGCTGCAGATGGACACAGTTGGTTCTTCAGTATGCGTAATAGAAACATTTCACTAAGCTGGAAACACTGATTTTGACTGACAGCTGATGTATCAATTTTCATGTCGATATAGGCTATTATTTTTATGTCCTTTAAATGTTAGATATAGGAGTATAGTGACATCATCTTACTTTTTTTCTGATACTGAGGACTGAACCCAGGACCTCTCATATAGACAAGTGCTTTGCCACTGAACTACATCCCTGCCCTTTAAAAAAAATTATTTTGAAGTCTCACTAAATTTCTCACACTGGCCTTGAACTTGCAGTCCTCTTCCATCAGCCTGCTGAACACCTGGGATTGCAGTCATGTGCCATCACACCCAGCGCAGTATCTTAGCTTACAGCCAGAATTGCAGTGGTTTAATTTGGAGTTTGTGGGGACTTTTAACTAATTATCTGCTCTCCAGGGAGTTCAAAATAAAGGCTTAAAAGAAAATGTGAATCAACAGTAATGAAATATTGATATGTTTGTGGGCATTTTCCCAAAAAGCTTCATTGATTTTTTCTTCTTTTTCCAAAATCTACACAGTTTGACATAATTAGATAGTGATTTAATGGCTACGTAATGTTGAAATTTAGAAACCATTTCTAAGCTTGACTTGTTTAATAGATAGGAAAATTGGTTAGTAATGAGATAGTTCAGCTAAAATCGCTACCACGTCCTGACTTGTTCTTCAGGCATGTAAATTAATGTTTTTACCCAGTGCTCTTTATCAGTTGTTCTGAACCCCAGCTGTACATTCAATCACCAAAAGAGTTTTTAAAATGCTGGTGCTTAGGCCGCATTCAAACCCCATCCCCCTACACTTCAACGATTTGGATTCAGTTCTTATACACAGATGTTATCCCGGTGTCTTAGTTACTTTTCTTGTTATTGAGATAAAATACATGACACCCAAATTTAAAGAAGGAAAAGTTTTTGTAGCTCACAGTTTGTAGACGTTTTATTTCATAGTTGACTGGCTCCAAGGCAGGGTGTCTGGCTGAGGAAAAACAATTCATGCAGAAGGCAGCAAGTAGCAAAATAGTGACAGTAGCAGTCCTCTTTCTGTTCCTTGTGTTCTACCCAGGCTACCCACTCTTAGGGCAAGTAGCACTCACACCCAGGGTGGGGCACCTTTAATCCTCACATTGCAACAGGAATCAATCCCAGCATCACATCCTTAATCCCAGAATCATACACTCTAGGTCCAGCCACCTCCAAAAGCCTCACCTGTATGAAGCTTTGAGAGGTCATCTAGACACAAGTCATATTACCTGGGAAGTTTTTTTTTAATCAAATTTCCCATATGAATCTTATTTATATGTAAGGTGAGAAACCCTGCAGTCTTACATTCTAAATGCCCATTCCATTGAAACTCTTGTTAATCAGAAACAAAATGGACAAGAAGATAAAAAGTGAAGCGACCTTCCAGTTTGGCTTCTAGGATTGGAGGGAGCACTCTGCAGTCTTTGAGACTAGTTCTGAGCAAAGCTTCTGCAGCTTATTTTGTGTCTAGACAATCAGAGCATTAAAGAAAAGATTCCTGAACAGCAGGTTGTTTGTGCGAATACAGCCATGCCAAGAGGTTTAGCTCTGTGCTAGAATTAAATACACTTACGTTCATATGAAATCACTCCAGATTTTCTCCCAACTGCTACAGATTCTGTTCTCCAAATGCAATTAATAAAGATGTGAAATTAACACACCCCTCACCACCTGAATAGCTTCAGTTCTTCCCCGGCTAATTATTCAGTCTCCCTATAAAAGGAATTTACAACTTGAATAAGTAAAAGCATAAACTTTTATCAAAACAATAGATTCTGATCCATTTTTTAACAGATGCTGGGCCTGGCCCAAGGATGCTTTGACTACACCATTCCATATATTAAAGAAAGGGAACAGTTTGGCAGAAGAATATTTGATTTTCAGGTATGTAATTAGGCTCTTTCCACTGTACTGAGCTTTCCCTTCTTCCATTTAATGAAGAACTGTGTTGAAAAGCCATGGAGACAATCTCAAGGGATTTTAGTGGGAGAGAATCTTGGGGAGTATAATTATGAATGCCTTAATCTTTTCCAAAGGCAGAACTACAGCCCTAAGGCCAGGCTGTGGCATGATTCAGGGTGTCCTGGGGAACACTGTAGAGCCATGTTCTCACTGTTTCATAACTGTCAGCCAAGAGATCTAAGGTCACACTTCTTGGGTTCAAAGCCTAGTTCTTCCAGTTAAAAGTTCAGTTGTGCTTTCTCTGAAAAGCTTGGGATCAGAGTGTTTCTGATGTTAGAGTTTTTTGAATTTTGGAGTATTTGCATAGACATAATGAGGTGTCTGATAATGGGATCAAAATCTAAACACAAATTTCATGTATGTTTCCTATATACCACATCTAGCTATCCTAAAAATAATTTTGTACAATATTTTAAATAATTTTCTGTACAAAGCAAAGTTTCATTGTGTGGAATTTTCCACTTGTGGCATCATGCTGACACTCAGAAAATTTTAGACTTTGGAGCATTTTGGATAAGGATTGCTCAGCCTATACTACATTTAGGCCTTGAACACTTCTCTATGCTGTAAATGCCTCATCTGTGAAATTACAGTACAGGTGGTACGTTTCCCAGTTTTAAACTAGTTGTGTGTAAAGAGTTAGTGCACTACATGGGTATAACAAGTGCTCAGTAAGTAGTAACACTTGTTACGAGTCTTCTGTTCAGAGCAGATCCACGTGGTCTTCAGAGGACATTTTGACACGTACACACTTTGCTGCAGCGGATACAGTTGAGATGCTCTGAGCAAAGCATTTTGGGAAATACTGGTCTTGTCCATTGAGTGTCTTTTTAGAGCTCCCTAGACAGTCAAACATATTTCTTGGTAGCAAGGCTATGAGATTTTTCCAGGATGGGGGTAGCCTGGTGTAGCAGCTTACCAAGACTTCTAGCTAACGTGAAGCACGTTACCTGAAATTCCAGAATAATTACTTTACATGGTTGCAAAACTGCCCCTTAAATATCTCCAGATTCAAAGTACAGTTTCTTATCACTAGCAGTTCTGTGGTATTATACTGTCTTCGGGTTTATAATGACCAGACATCAAATGAGAAAACTCAGATTACGCTCATATAGAGATACGAGGCTGTAGACATGCACAGTCATTCTGAGATCTAGAAGGACTGAGCATGGCAGTGTTGGCCACTGCCTGGCATGCTGTGATTCCCACCTTGTACACAGGATAAAGACACATGGGTGGTAGGTTTCCAAGGCCCTATAGCTAGTACAGTGTATTCCAAAATGACAGGGTTTTGTGTTGGCTACTGGTCTAATTTTTATTTCCCTTTACATGTGTATTATCTCAGCCACCTTCCACATAGATTGCAGTGAGAGGGACAGAGGTCAGTCAGGTCTGAGGAGGCTTTTGATTTTCTTTGTACTCAGGAAACTATATATATATATACATATATATATATATATGTATATATATATATATATTAAGGCATGCTAATAGGCATAATCACAACATTTCTAGTGATGTCTAGTCTGTTTTGAGGTTTTTGTTTGTTTGTTTGTTTGGTTGGTTGGTTGGTTGGTTTTCTGAGACAGGATTTTGCTGTGTAGTTCAGGCTGGCTGTGAACTTACTGTGTACCCCGGGCTGGCCTCGAAATCTTCCTGCCTCAGCCTCCAAAATGTTGTGATTACAGTTATGTACCACCATGCTCAACAATTCTGGGTAATTTGTCGGGGATATTTTTTTTTAAAGGCAGAAATTTGATGTTAAAAAACAACATCATTGACTATATAAAGCTTTGACTGAAGTTAGTCTAGAGTTTCTCTGCCTACGTCATCTCATCAGAGTGATGTATTTTTGGCTTTACATTTATTCTTTTCATTCTCACCTCTAGATAGTAAAGTCTTTGCGAACAGGGACCAAGTCTGTTCACTCTTATTTGCCATAGTTGCCTTTCTGCTTTTCATTACCCTTATGTGGTTGTTGGAATCGACAACGTGGATGGTGTCTGGAGGTTTAATTGAACTAATTGTATTTTTCAAAAATAATCAGTATCTCTGAATTCCTCATTTAAAAACCATCTGAGGGCTGGGAACTTGGCTCAGCAGTTTGGTGGCCTGCCTTGCAAGCGCAAGGACCCAAGTTCAATCCCCGGTACCAAAAAAAAAAAAAATCTGAAATTTCTAGAATGGTGATTGTAGCATAGAAAAAGGCAGATTGACTGATAGAACAAAACAGGCCAGAAATTGACTCACATGTATCAAAAGGCTAGAGATGGCATTATAAATCAATAACTAGGATAAAGAATGAGAAACTAGAGTCATTCATAGGAAAAGGGATGCACATTGAGGATATACTCCTAAGTGAAATAAATACGTCACACATGGGTAAATACCGAATAGTTTCTCTAGTGTGAAAAACTATAATAGTACATAAGATCCTAATGGGATAACTGACAATGTGAAATAGGAAGAAAAGGGCTAAAGGTGTAGGGGAAGTGGGACGGGTAGGGGAAAGGAAATAATGTAAAAGAAAAAACATGAAAAAATGAAAAAAATGGAAATAAAGTATTTGTAAATAGGGAAGGGAGGAGGGGGTGAAGGGAGGGCAGGGACAAGGGGAAAAAGTGAGAACCAAGACCTGTCATGTAAAGGTACAAGATCCCAACGATGAATGTAAATGTACTGTATACCTAAAATGTACGAATAAACTCAATGAGAAAAAAATCAATAACTAGGAATATTCTTTCCATATGGAAAAAAAGAAACCATATCCCTATCTCAGATCACATATGGAATATTGATGTCAGATATATTAAAAAGTAAACTTTAAAGATTTTATGAGAATATCTTTATGACTTCATGTTTGGAAAAGATTTCATAAACCAGACTCAAAAAAGACTAATTATGAAGGCCAATCATAATTGGTGAATTTAACCATCAAATTTCTTTGTCTCAAAAGATGCCATAAAGTAAAAATGTAAATCATAAGGAAGATGTGTACCTGACACATAACATTGTGGACATTCAGTTTATTTTTATACCCTACATATATGTAAGTCTGATTTTATAGGTATCAAATATCACAAAAAAGAAAAGAACATTAGGATATTTGTAATCAGAAAGGATAAACTATTTTTTCTCCAGCTTATCCCTCCATTTTGGTTAAGAAAGGTCATTCTAGGATTATTGAGTAATTGCCTTAATCAGAGTTCTTTGTGTTAGCATTCATCACATAGTTATGTTTATTTAATTTTCTGTTCTCTCTGCTAGGCTCTGTAAATCATGAAAGCAAGGTATTCGACTATCACACTCAGCCTCCATTGCTTAGCACAGGGCCTGGTGTAGAAAAGTATTCAATAAACATGTGGGTGAAAGGATAGGCTAGACATAGGAAAACATAACAACCTATAATAGTCATCTTTACCTATATTTCCAGGAAATTGTTTATAACTGTAAATCCGTATTTTGACTGACCAAGTCACTTATTTTCTTATTGATATTTAATGGCATCCATCATTTTCTAAACTTTCAAGATGGTAGCAGGGTTTTTTTTTTGCGGGGGTGGTTTAAAATTATTCTTCTCTTTCCTATAATCTCAGAGGAACTGGGACTGATCTATTATTGGATATTGCAGTAGAGTCTCTCTCATAAAGTCACTTGAAGAAAAAAAAGTTGGTTTTTTCAAATATTCCTTCATTCCTTTACAGCTAACAACTTCTAATGCCTTGAGCCCATAGGAAAATTCAAATTTTTCTCAACTGAAGCAAAAATATATTCAGTTTTAATATTCTAGGCTTTGGTTCAAGCTTAATTTTGATCATAAAGAGTTGAAAATGTTAAAACAGTCAAGTTTTTAAACCTGGCTTTGTGATAATTTATTATTTAAATCTTAATAATTATGAAGAATTAAAAGAACTTTGAAATTTTTCTAAGACAAAGGGACTTTGTGATACTTGTATTTTATTTCATTTCAGATTTCAGATTTTAAAGTTTTTAAAAGAAATGAACATGAATTTCCTTTGTGTTAGATTTTAAGTCTGTCAGTATTCTGTGTCTTGGCAGGACTTAAAGATAAGCTGTGTTTTAGAGATCATAACTCTGCAACTTGTGCCTGAATGTTACAGGGGCTCCAACACCAAGTGGCTTATGTGGCAACCCAGCTGGAAGCGACAAGGTTACTGACATACAACGCTGCCAGGCTTGTAGAAGCTGGGAGGCCATTCATAAAAGAAGCCGCGATGGCCAAATATTACGCATCAGAGGTAAAAAAAAAAAAATCAGTTTTCATTTCTTTTTAATTGGGTTAATTTTCTCACTTAAGACTATTGATTTAATCTAGGTTTTTTTTCAAGCAAGATAACAAAGACTTTTCAGTTCTCATACTAGAAAAATGAAAAAGTAAAACTATGATAGGAAAAAAGCGTTAACTTTGCGGGCTCTTGGTGTTCCCCTGAGTAGCTGTTTGGCAACCACCCCTCTCAAGGCCACGGAGATGATTCTCCGCGTGATGGCATCAGGCTCATCATTTCAAATCGGGGTAGAGAGTATGCCATAGAGGATGATGTGCTTGTCATAGAAGCAAGTGAGGTTAAAACACCAGGAAAAGCATGTCTATATTTTTACTGCTTTTTGCTTACACATAGACATTCTATTTAACATGTTAGATTTTGGCTGGAGAATTTAGCCAAGTCATTGGCAACTGTTTCCTAACTGTGACATTATGTCTGATTCATTTCAAGGCTTTAAATACACATTTAACTTCTCCAGCCCCCATATTTGAGCTCTTCCTCAAGTGCCATTGTGAGTTCCTACTGAATTATCCAACCTTCATTTGACCTGTCCACCCAGGGAGCCAGTCAGAAACCTGAGTCATCTTGACACCTTTCTTCCCTCGCACCAAACATCATCAGTTCCTATGAATTCTGCCTGCAAAAGATTTCTTGAATTGATACATTTTTCTCTCCCCATGCCATCCATCCAAGGTGTGTCATTTCTTAACCAAACTACTGCAGCCACCTAACTACTCTTGTGGTTCCTTTTGCTCACTCCAACCCAGTCTGTCTCTCTTTTCAAAATGTGCATGAGATTGTGTCACTCTCGCTTCAAGTGGCTTCTCACAAAAAATATTTTTGTATTAATTTCCTATCACCACTATTACAAATTACCAAAAATCTAGTAGCCTAAAACCATGCAGTTTTATTATCCCCTACTTTTAGAGGTTAGAAGTCTAAAATGAACCTCACTAGGATCAAATTGAAGTGTCAGAGGGCCGTGTTTCTGAAGGCTCTAGGGGAGAACCCCATTCAAGCTTCTGCAGGCTTCTTACATTCCTTGACTTGCAGCTCCTCCTCCATTTTCACAGCCAATCGTGTAGCAGGCTCAGATCTCTCTGTGGCTCTACTTCCTGCTACTATAGTCATTACCTGCAATGACTACTCTTTACTCCTCCAGCCTCTTTTAAGCACCCTTGTGATTACATGGGATCCACCCAGATTATCCAGGATAAAGTCCTCATTTCAAGGTCCCTAATGTAATCACAGCTACAAAGTCTCTTTGTCCATGTGAAGTACTATATTCAATTTCTATGGACACCCTTGGTTAGGCTGCGGACATCCTTAAGGGTCGTTTACCAATGGTCAGACTGCTGGCCATTCTCTAAGGCTGGCCTGCCCCTCTTCTCTTTTTACAACTCACTGTGATCCCAGTCCACTGGCTTTCTCAGTTCCAATGCTGATGACCCCATTTATCCCTTGAGCCTCTGCAATGTATTCCTCAGCTTGAAATGCCTCTGACTCATCCTTTAGATCTCAACCAAGCTGTTCCTCAAGTATCTCACCATTTAGATCATGTTAGGTTTTTTTAACCTGTGCAGTTTATGAGTTTCTATGCTTGTAGATTTAATGTCATTCTCTAATGATCACCAGTACCATAGGGCCAATGACTGTCCACCCCCATCACTGTATACCCACAGGATTACAGAGTATTTGGCACGAGAGCAATGCCAATGTTTACTAATAAATAATACTTGCTGGCAAGCATGTATCAACAATATTATGATTTTATGAGCTATGAATGTAGCTCAATAGCAGAGCACTTGCTAGCATGCACAAAGAGAAAAATGATTTTAAGGAAATAATTTCATGAATTCATAGGATATTTTACAGAAATGGCTAAGAGAATAGGACTAAACAGACAATGCTGGTTTCTAAAATAACTTTAGCCCTTCTAATCACCAACCACAGTGAAATATTGCTAAAAGTATCGCACGAAAGTATTATATAATTTAAATTACTTCAGTGTGCAATTTGCTTTTTTTTTGGTAGACAGCAGGGCTCACAACTGGTAAATGTATCGAGTGGATGGGAGGAGTAGGCTATATCAAAGATTACCCTGTAGAAAAATACTTCCGAGATGCAAAGATTGGTAAGTAGATTTTGTTTTACATCTTATTTGGTCCGGTTTGCCATTGTAGGTGTTTGGGATATTATATTTGTCAATTCTATATTACTGGAACCAAGGGACAGGTGATCTTGATTTCTTCAGTTTATGTTTATTGGCTCTCTTGTGGCTGAATTTTTTTCCCTACCTCTTCCCCAAAAAATGTATTTATATTTTAAAAACATCAAATTGCCCTTTAAAACGCCTCAAGGGGCCTTTTAATAAAACTGAAACACAATCTAATATCTTAATTTTTCTTTTACTAAAATTGCTAATATTTGTGATCAGTGTAGTTTAATGCCATTCTTTGAAGTATTGTTCTAATTTCAGAAGCTAAGTGCCGAATCAAGCCTGAGCAGTTCAGTGCTCCACCACCAGAAAGAAAAATAAACACAACACCTCCAAAAGCTTCCTGTTCCTTAGTAACAGTCTGAATATATTCATTGATAGTTTAGGAACCAAAATCTTCAACTGTTCAGAGCTGGCTCTGAACATACAGCTAATGGAAAATCGTCAGCTCTTAGTCAAAATTACTTTGTCCCATAGTTCCATATTCCACGGTCATTAAATGATGTTACTACTAACGGTTTTATAGCAAATGCGGAGGTAATAGAGCATTTATTTCTCATATGACTTAACTGTGGGTCCACTTCTATTTATTTTGCTCCTTTTCATTTTAGGTACAATATATGAAGGAGCTAGCAATATCCAGCTGAACACCATTGCAAAGCACATTGATACAGAATACTGACATCTTTAAGATCGGGCCCCTCCCTCGTATCACTGGTGTGACATTTCAAACTACTGTGCCTTGTTGGAGGAGTAAGGCTCCACAGGACTGCGGGGTTTCATGGAGGCCCCAGATGTGATCCTCTGGCTTTGCCCTTCCTTTTTCCTCTTTCCAGTCTGCTTCAATTAGACACAAGAAATCATTTCTAAAATTTGGGAGATGTGTACCCCTATTTTCTCCAAAACTGTTTTAAACTTCTGTACATGTTCATATTATCATCTACTTTCAGAATATATAGAAGTTTCATTCCATCAACATCTGGAAAAATGAAGACATTTGAAGTACTACAGAAATAGTTATTTTATACTCCTTCTAAATCTTTATATCGTGGTACCAGTCAGAGCAACATTTGTTACAGCAGTCAGTTTTTATTAAATACTTTATAGATTCAGCTGTAAGTTGCTAAATGAGGCAGAAACTGATAAAAATTTGTTTGAAAAATCTAAAACTTCTAGTAGTGAATATCAGAATGGATGGAAAATAAGAGTGCAACTTTGTAGTTCATATAATTGAAAAAAATACACTTTTTAATCAAGTAAAACAATATAATTTGTTGCTATAATTGACCTGTAAAATATTTAATTTCATGAAGGTTTAAGCAGGTCTTTTTTTGTTTGTTTGTTTTTGGTTTTTTGAGACAGGGTCTCACTGTACAGTTGAGACTGACCTGGAACTCACTATGTAGCCCAGGCTGGTCTTGAACTCACAGCGATCCTCCTGCCTCATTTTTTTTTTTTTTTTTTTTT